TGCAGTCGAAGAAAAGCACCTCCAAAACTTACATCTTATTAGTTGGATTTAATAGATCAGACAATAATCGTCATTGCAGTTTGTACCAAGAGTTTAAACATCCATCTGAGTTGGTTTGGGCAACAGGTCAGACTGAAAGATGCTTACATATTGAGCAGTATCCTGACCTATACTGTCAAACATCACTAAAAAATAATAAAAAATTAAAATATCAATCCTTGGTGAACATGTACCAGCCAAATCATTATGGTTTATTTATTTGGTAAAAGTCCTATAATGCAGCACAACTAGGCTTGTTAGGATTGCTGCTATGATCAATATTCTACCGCAGATATATGAGAGATGATTATTAAATACTCACGGCAGACAGAGAGAATATATAACTAGCGATACAGTTTGTTTGTGTTGCCCATCATTTTTGACTCCACACCTCCTACGTAGACACGGATAAAAGAAACATAATTTCTAGTTTGGCTCTCAGTTCAAGTTAAAAATCTCTCTTGCAAACACAACCATTAGTAGCTTTTACTCCTACTCTGGTCATATTCTAGTGTAAGATCACATGAAAATCGAGCAAAAGAAAGAAACAACAGCAAAAGAATCATAGTTAAATGTCTATGCCAAGGCATTAGTTCAAAGCATCTCTTTTGCAAAGCAAAACACTTGCATTGGAAGCTCATATTCGTAACTGTTTACTCTTCGAAGGCCACATGTATTTTAAGCTTCAGAACTTAATGCACAACATATTTCACTTGCGTCACAAAGTAAAAATGGTACAATTATCAGGAAATCAAAGTTATGAATGCATCAACAAAGAAGAATAGCCTTATAAACATAAAAGCAAAATCCTATGATACAATCATACAGATGTGAATAACAGAGCAGCTAAGCTATCAGTTGAAGGTGCTAACGAAATAGAAGATGCAGGAGACAACAAAATCATTCCTTGCTCTTTCATTGAAAATTGCATGAGTTAAAACTAAAGGCTGAGATTTATTCTAAGAGAAAAGTGCTTGATGAAAGAATACAAACTACAATGATGCATTTAACTTGCATAAACCTGTGAAACACTTGCAAGAAAAGAGATATGAATCACACAGCATCAAGATCATAAATACATTGTTGTACCTGCAAAATAGCCCAGGATGCGATCTGAATGTGGAATTCACAATCACTTAAGAAATATAGAAGGAATAAGCGACAACTACACAATGTCTTAACTTCAATCAGTGAGATCAGATGTCATCCTTTAACTCAAGATAAATTTCTGTACAATGTCCTAATTCCAATTAGTGAGATCAGATATTATCCTTTAATTTAAGTGCTGAGCAGGGAGTCTCAAGCCTAATAAGGGTCATGACAAAACCAAATGATAATAAATTGACAATGAAACTACGACAGGCTCTTCACGATGATGCAAGTAATGCAAAAGTGAGAGGATGCTATGAATAATGTGGACAGAAACTTAGGAACCTTCATGTAAAAGTTCCTGGACCCGAAAGGGATCAACCCTTCGAAGCACCAGTTCATATCCAAATGAATCCAACTCCTAATTTACCTTTATTATCTCGACAATAACAAGGAAGAAGTAGAAAATATTGGACATTCAAGCCAGAAAAATTCACATATTGTTCCATTACCGAAAAACTAGAAAAGCAATAAAGAGCAAATCACTACTTAATAAGCTAATACCATTCGACTTCCTGCATCTTCTACATCAAACATTCTAATCTAAACAGAAACAAGTCAGAAGCAAAGAAGGGGAAGACCTTATCAGTCCTCTGGCGAGACCTTAGTCCGCTTCTTCCCAGAGAAGCCCTTCAAGAAGGCATCTACAATCCGGCGCTGTGAGTCGAGGATAAGTTCGGTGCGCTTCAGTTCCATCTCCATCCTCACCTTCTCCATCTCCCTAGCCATCTCCATCTTCTTCTGCTCCATCCTCAAAAAGCCATCTCCCAGCATCCTCAACGCCGACACCATCTCCCTGACCGCACTCGACTCCATCTCCAACCTCCTCTTCCTCCTCTTCTTCTCCATCTTGCGCCGCATCTCCTCCATCGCGGGCCGTGAGCCGGTGTAACCCCTGAAGAAGCGGGTGGTAGGGTTAGGGTTCATACTAGGGCTCGGCGCGGGCCTGTCGTCGGCCCTTGAAACCTTGGACCGAACCGCCTTGGGGATTGTAAATCTGAGCTCGCCGATCGCTCCGCGGCCATTAGCCATTAGGCGGTGCATGCTGCGAGTATTGCTCCCACCGCCCGTGCCGCGGCGCCCGTCGTAGTCGTCGTCGTCTTCTTCTTCTTCCTCTTCCTCGTCGTCGTCGGAAGGGGGGCGGGGCGGGGCGGGCGAAGGGGAGGCGGAGGGGCGACGGGGGCCGCTGACTGCTCCACCACCATGCTCCATGGCGTCCATCTTGCGGAAGTAAACCCAAGAGGAAGCAGGGGCGAGGGAGGAGTCAAGCTGGAGCGACTTGTGGCGTTCGCTGCGGTAACGCTTGCGGAGCTTCTCGACCTTGTGACGGCACTGGACGGAGGACTTGGGCGGCGAGGGGCCAGAGGGGCAGCGGCGGGCGACATCGTCGGCGACCTCCTGCCAGTGGGAGGCGCGGAGATTGCCGCGGCGGAGGGCGTACCACTTATCGCGGTAGGCGTCGATGAGGGCAAGGGTTTCCTCGTGGGTCCATATGGGGGCTGCGAGGCGACGGGAGCCGGAGGCGGCGGCGACCGCGGAGTGCGGCGGTGGCGGGAGGGAAGCCGGGAGGGGGATCGGGGAGGGCGATCTGTCCGGTGAGGGCGATGGCGACGGGGAAACGGAAGGCGATCCGGTGGCCGCGGCGGCGGCGGAGGCGGCGGCCGCGAGGGCGGCGGGGGAGGGAGGGTCCTTCTTGGGGGAGGAGCTGGAGGTGGCGGCCATCACGGAGGAGTGGGTGGCGGAGGAGGTGGAGGTGGTTAGGGAAAAGGGGGAGAGAGGAGGAAGTGGTGGTGGTAAGGGAAGAGGGAGGAGGGCATAATAATGAATGGTGCTTTTTTTTGTTTGGTAGTGAGTCGGGGCACCGCCCTGGGGTGGGCGGCTTAGGGTGCGGCGCGCATGCTAACCGTGTGAGAGACGGTAGTGGGCGCACCGCTCCCGATGTGAAGGGGCGCGGCGCGGAGGTGTGGGTGGGGGGAGTGGGCCGCCTCCACCGCGGCGCGGGCGGTGTTCTGACCGCGGTTGGGGTGGAAGGCAGAGTTGGGCTACCCTGCCCCTGCCCTCGGCCTCGGGTGGAGCTGTTTGGGCTAAATGGTGAGGGCGGACGACAACCATTTGCACTTTTGCTTTTAGACCCCTCCCAGTCACATCCTCCTATGTTTTCATTATTACATCTACTCCGTGGTTGTCCCATCCATAGAGGCATGCACGCAAAACACGTAGATGGAGAATTTTTAAGTTGTAGGGGCTTTAGAGAAAAACCCAATTAAAGTAATAGCGGCCTGCATTATTCAAAACCCAAAAAGGTGGGTGGTGGTACGATTACCAAGCGTCAACGCTGGCCCACGTTAGGAGCAGAGATCGTCCCGCGGGCGAGGGACGATCATATTTGATCCTTCGGATCTCCACCGTTAAATTATTCCTTGATCATTTGCGATCCGTGACCACAGGAGGAACAGGTTTTATCTTACAGCCGGCCGAGAAGTAGTGGAACCGAGGATACCTCCATTTGTCATAATGGTGGGACCCAGAAAGTAAAGGGATGAACATGGGCGCGTGAAGCCCCAAAACGTGTGACTGTGGGCCCAATTAGGAAATCCGACCAGTCATCTTGATGGTGAGACAAATGGGCATGTCATAGAGGGAATAGAAGAGTAACATTTTATTGTCCGCCGCACTGCAGTAACTTTCATGTTGAAATACTCGTACGAAAGAACTGAAGTAATAAAACAGGCATCAGTCGTAGAAGATACAAATCCGGAAGCAAAATCTCTCCCGCCATAGGATCATCAGTTACAACATCTCCAGGAGGCAAACGTTAAGCGTTTACTGCAAGAAGAAGCCACCAATAGCAGGTCGAAGTAAAGCGTTTACTCGAATACAAACGAAGCTGCAATTGCTGTAAGCTCACATACAGAGTTGCAGCAAGCGTTCAAGTCTTGAACAAGTGGTTCAAACAGGAACTCCAACAAATTCGTGCTTGAAAGCAGGAAATCAAACTCTGTGTCCCTCTTCTTAGAGCCTGTTGTGAAAAGCTGCGATTCCCGTAGCCAGAGGAACCATAGCTGGTATGGGATTGTGCTGCAAAGACGATAGATAATAGAGAAGCCGGGGTGGCCAACTGCGAGTAACTCGATCTCAAGTATGTACCAAGTTCCCCTTAACTGCTGGATGCAGGTTCATTAGGCACCCACCACAGATTCCTGCATACAATAGATGAGGACAATGAAGCTCTTAATGAGAAAAGCAGTTCCAGTAAATTAGCCCTCTTGCTGAGTGCACAACTAGAAAAAGATTGGGGATTCGCTTACCTCGATGAGCTGTTGAGCAACATGAACGTGTGAAGAGTTGCACTTGATTTCGATAATGATCTCATCACACAATCCTCTAGGCCTCCCGAATGGTACTTGCTGCTCCACTAATGTGATATGCTATATTACCACCAACAATATTCTCCACCATATGAAGTATAGAATCTGTATTTCATGTGCAATCCGAATCACAAAGCAGTTCAAGCAGTGAATCAGCTCAAGACAGAAATATAACTCCAGCATATAGCTAATATAAAATGGACAATAACCTAGTAAGCCACCTTCTTAAAAGGCATTTTTTTCCCCCCATTTTTGCTTCTGACCATAAGTAATAACCCCAGAAGCTTCCAGGACAAAATCTTACTAAAGACCACATACTATCATCTGACTACTCCAGTAAGATCTCCCTACCCGACCTGGAATTTGGGACGTTTTGGCTTGTTGTTGTTATTATTGTTATTGTAATTTACTTTTTGCAGAGAAGGCATGGTTAAGAAACCAACCTGCGATTCCATAACACCAATGGCCAACATCTCGGAAGCAATGAAGGTTCTTGAATATGCTAGGGCTACTCGATCACAGCATCTTTTGCCTCATCTAAAAATGAGGTAGAGTGCATGAGATCACATGCTTACACATTAGGCACCTTCATGTTCAACAAAATGTATGGTATGGAAAATCTATGCACATCTGGTGTATGCAAATAAAAATTCAGTATTCACATGATTTGATAATTCTAAGGTCATTACCCATTTGCTAAAAAGTCCATATATTATGCCTCACAAAGCAAATGGTCAATGGTTAAGATTCTACCATCAACATGCTCCATAGCTTGTTGAATAAGCAAAAGATTTAGTCTAATATCTTCTCAGGTTCTCCACAACTAAAGAAATAAAAGGTACAGTGCTGCACACAAACTTGTCAACATATATCTACTAAAAAAATAAAATCATGCAGCAAGATATTACTATTCATGTATCAAACATGCAGTAAGGGACCAGAGCAGGATCGACTACCACCAAGACACAACTGGTGCGCCAGAGTGCTGAAGAATGTCTACCAAAGGTTAGGATCCTACCAATATAATACCAATACAATGCATTGGCTCATGGTATTCACAATCAAGAGAAAAAAGAATCTTGTTTCAGAGGAATACCATTGCCACTGCTCATAGTAGACTATTGTATTGGCTCATAAATAGTGTTTTCACCAAATGCATCAACTGAAAGGAAATAATAAAAAGTGATATTAATAGAAATCTATCTAACATAGCCCACAATATACACAAAGCCCGATTTAAGCAATTGAAGAAAGTCTTACACTCTTTCCGAACAAAGGAAGTCCAATCAAACAAAAACATCCTTAGCTGCCCGGCTATTGCTTCAAGGGCTTTTGGGACCTTCAAATGATTGACCTTGTATCTCAGCAATTCTTATCTAAAGCACGGAATGGCAATTCACCCAGGAAACAAAAGAATTAGATGTCATGAGCTTTAGAAACATTGCACCTTAATACAACTCAACATCGGAAAAAGGTTGCAGCCTAACAGTAAAGTGGTGAATCTCGAGCATACATTTATGCTATTCAAGAACTACAAACCTATTTGATAGCTAGTTATAAGGATGAAAGAGCAAATGGTTTTCTTAGCATACTCAGCTAACAAAGAAATCCCAAAACAAGAAAAGACTCACAGGACGATGATGGATGCCCATGGGTCCTTCAAAAATCCAAACGCGAGCCCTTGTCTCCTCGCCTAACGTCTTGACAACCAGGCTGGACACCTTATTCCCTGTTCAATTCGGCCACGTCTTGACCTCCGCGCCACCGGCATGCACCTTGACCGGGTACTTCCTCGGCCGGGAGAGACGGGGCCTCCGCATCGGGCTCTGTGTCAACAGTTACTGCGGTATCGTTGAGCGCCGACGCCAATAGCTGGAGGTGAGAAAGGATCGAAGAGAAGAAGGTTCTTCTGGAAGCAATGGGGACGAAGGGAGAAGGATTTTTATTTGGGAACACACCCGCGGTTCCACACTTTTCCTTGGAGTCATTCGAAGAGACGGCTCACACTCGAGAAGGTCGACCCAGATCCACACGTGTACGACTTGGAGTCGCACGTGTCCGTGAGCGAGCATGCCATAGGAGTGTGCGTCGGACTGTGCCCAACGTGGCCTTTGGTCCACTTCAGCCTCGCGAAGAAGCCTGCCCGTCTCAGCTAACACATAATGATACGTTCAGTCGCATTCGATACATTGTGCCTATTTAAATTGCTCCGTTCGCCCATTTCAATGCAATTGTCTTCAGGTTGATGCCGTGACTGACGTTAGTTTATTGTGGGGGAAAATGCCGTGAAGTTCCAATGAAGTAGGTGTATCTAAGCATTTAATTTTGTTGCATATACTCATCAGCTGTAGTCATCATTTCCTGCACCAATTTTCGTGCAGATGCCAATAAGTATCATCTCTCCCCTGATGAACTTGTAGAGTTCACTTGATTGTTGATCAGCAATTTGATGCAGTCAAAACTAATTTTCCATCAAGTTGGTGTCTGAATCTTTAAACCATCTTGAGAAAATGTTGATGAATCTGTGACAATTTAAATTTTCTTGATTGATGTCCCCTCAATTACTCTCATACATCATTTTGGTTACTATATCTAATTCAAATATACTGTGCAGGGAGAAGAAGGTTAGAAGCATCCATATATCACCAAACTTTCTCATAACCAAAAAAACATAGTCCTTATTTAGAGTTTAGCTTTCTGGTCATCAGAATATCTTATTCCTTCCCTTCTAGTGGTCTCTGCATTATGAATAAATGACTCTTTTCCCCACAATTGCTTTTCTAGCTGGTGGATTGGATCTTCCTTGAGGTACTTCAGTGCTACAGTACTGGTAACTATTAATCTCATTTACCTCCTACCTGGTGTACCTTCTTAAAGCAAAATGAGATGGACAATGACTTGTAAGGTTGAACATAAACAGCATGAAATGTTTGGAAAAATGTTACCTAGGCTTGGCATAGACATTTTCATAAAATTATATTGGTTGAAGCTGCTCTTTCTAATGCCTTGGTAGTCAAGCTATATTGATTGAGAGTGTAGCTGACATGAGAGTGCTTAGCAAGTCTTCCAATTCAGAAGAACCCCTCTTTTATTTATGAGAAGTTTGCTTAGAAATAACCTCTCTTCCAATTCAGAAGAACCCTCTCTCTCTCTCTCTCTCTGCTACTGTCTATAGGTATTTCCTTGTGAATCTAATGCCATCATAATTCATATGACACTCACAAGTCAAGGATGTAGAGGTTCAATTGGCATTTCCATACCAATTATCTTGTTTTACAAACCAAGCAAGTCTCCTAGATTACAATATCATGGTAATGTAAGCTTAGCTAATTATTCTGCCACAACTAGAGTATTACTTTCACCACCACCAAGCAGGCAAGCAAATTTAGCAAAGCAGATACCAGCTCTTAATGTAGCAATCTAATTGCAATTAAGAATCAGCTACTAGATCACACAGAAGGTACACTCAATTCACAATATAAAACCAGGTTTTGCTGCAGCAATCTAATAATACCAAGCAATCCTAGTAGCAATGAAGAGTCAGCTGCTATATCACATGGCTGGACATGGAATGTAAGCTAAACTCACTTCTCAATACAATAAATTTGGTTAACAAAAATTTACTCCCAACATATTCTTCAGTTTCAAAACAGAGGATTTTGTTATCAAGATTATAATTGTTTGAGTATATCATATCAAGTTTCATCTTGTAATTCTGTAAAGAAATGGTAATTTGAGAGGTAAAGAAAGAAGAAGAAGAAGAAGAAGATCTTCCTGAAGATTGTAGCCAACTCTTACTGAGAGCCCAATTCAAGATCTTCCTTCTTCTCGAAGATCGGCCCCAGTTCGCCACCACCGGCGCTCGCTGCCTCCTGGCCGCTGGCAGTCAGATCGTCCCGCACGCGGAACACGGCGTGGAGCAGCACGAGCGGCACCCCGATGGCCATGGCGAGCAGGAACTGCGGCACGGCCCTCGTCACCACCAGCTCGACGCCGATCACGGCCAGCACGAGCGCGGCCGCCAGTCTGCGGTCCACGATCCGGCAGAGGAGGGCGGAGTTGGGGACGGCCTTGAGGAGGGCGCCGCAGAAGAGGGCGATCTTGGAGGAGGCCATGAGGAAGAGCATGGTGGCGCGGCGGCGGGGGAAGAGGGAGGCGAGGAGGAGGACCCAGAGGAGGATGGCGTAATGGAGGCGGAAGGAGCGAAGGTTACGGACGGCGCGAACAGCGGCCGCCTCGGCGTCGGGCGGCGCCGCGAAGGACTGGGGCCGGGCGAAGCGGGCCAGGGCCTTGCGGGTGCGGCGGGCGCCGTCGCGGGCGCGCTCGACAACGGCGGCGGATCGCCGGAGTACGCCGCCGTAACTCGCCATGTTGCCCTCCGATTCGTGGTCTGGAGAAAGGGGTTGGGACGCGGATGGACGACAACAGCAACGACGCGGACTTCTTTTCCGTCTCTCCTCCAATACTTGCCCCTCCCTAGAAAGTGGGAGGAGGCCGACTTCGTATCGGAAGCCGCCGCATTCATTGGGCCCAGAGGCACCCACCAACGAAGCTCGCACGTGCACGGCACGTTTAAGGGCTATTTGGGGTCGTGCTCATCATCGTCAACAGAAGCTGGTACTTCAACTGAGGCATTTCTTCATGCACTTGGTGTTCGTCTGATCAAATTACAGACACAAGACTCGTTGCCTTGTGAGCCTCTCCATGTCCAAAGCATGATGACCCTGCACACAATAACCAAAGCCAACTCCTTCAACAGGCAATACATGCCCAAATTGAGAAGAGAACAACAAGACGGCAATGCACATTCCTTCACTGTTTATACAGACTCCTCTTTTTATGCTCAGTTGTATTACAACCGTCTTGCAAGGCTATATACATGAAGCAATTTAGCTCAAACCAGTTCAAAGCTAATTGTCAGTTTTCAGCATACTAGAAGATGAAGTAGACCGAAAATGTTTTCGAAAGAGGTTGACAGAGGGGGAAAGAGCAAGACTATGACACCCACCATTCACGGCACTAGTTCAGCTGATGCTCCATGTGCAACAAGCAATTGGACAACATCTGTGTTGCTGAATTGATCTGTCTTTCTGTCTCCATTATTGGTACAAGAGTTCTTCTTGAGGAAATGATCCACCAGACGGCAAAACCAGAAGCAAGTCACTCTCAGAACTGAGTGTTGGGGCTAGCAAGGAGCTCCTATTAGGAGGAGAAGCAAAATTTCTTCTGGAACTGAAGCAAGAACCTTCATGGTCTACAAAGTCCTCTATGTCATCATTTACACTGGAAATGACACTAGGTTCCAGCTGAGTTGAACATCTTGAAGGAGGATTCGTCTTCTCAGACCTGCACATTCTTTTAGGGCTTGTCATGGTGCTTTTATTCTCTGAAATCCACAGCAGAACACCACCAAATATGTTAGGAAAGAAACTCCTTTATTTAATTTACAGCGACAATCAACAGAAGGAAAAACATAGTTACACGCATAGTAAACATCAAATAGTTATGGAACTCCTGGTTTGATGTGCCGCTTGTGATACCTCGGTGGTCCAACACTGGAAATTGGAGAGGGTTATGATGATATAAAGTACTAGTCATGTGTCTTTTTGATCCACATGGTTTTATGTATGTTAAGGTTTATCGGTTTACATTATGACAATCATGATAATTAATATCAGAGCATACCTAGTATATGCAAGTATGATCAATGAGCCCTGGCAAGCAAAGACTACATGCAAGAGGCATATCGAACAGGACCAAATAGGGTCGATACCTCGATTATTCTAAGGCAATATGTTTTCTGGGAAGATTTCAAATCTTAAATGTCTAAAATTCAATAATGCTGAAAAAAAATGGAGTGGCAAAAGGCCACCAGGCATTTGGTCAACACAGTCATTATATCTACTACAGTATCCACATGATATTCTACCACAAAAAATTTCTGGAAGTCAGTATGAAATTTTCTTTTCACTACATAAACAACTCAAACCAGTCTAAGCAAGCAAAGTAAATTTAACTGTCACTGTGCTAAACAGAGGAATGAATTTGCATAAGCCAATCAGTATCACTCACTTCAGTATAGTTTTATATGTTTAGCAGAAATATCAAAGAACCAGACCTGGACAGTTCTCATTTTGCCTCTCATGGTGCCTTTTCAGGGATGCCAATTTGGAAAGATCAGAAAGATTTTTTCTGTTCAGCTTTGCATTTCCTTTCTTCTTGTTCGATGGTGCATCCTATAGCAATTGAGGTGCAATATCAATCAGAACTTACCATGTCCATTTCAAATTTTAAATAGCTAAATCATGCTCGATTTTTGGCTATTTGGCAATCCAAAAGGACAGACTCCATAGACCACTCCGTTACCTTTATTTTCTGATAGCACTCTGACCACTTATGATTTGTATAATTTAGTAATACAAGCCTCTTTAAAGTCCTGCACTCTTCAGCATTTGCTCCTGACATGGAGAGATCAAAAACTCCTTCTTGATGCATTTGCTGGTAGTAAGATAATGTCTCTAAGAATTGAGGACTGGTAAACATACTTCTGAGGCTGCCAAACCAACAACAACAAATTATGAGAACTGGAGAGAAACTTTAGTTTACTAGAAGAACAAAGCTATCAGGATGGAACAGACCTTTCGGGAGATTTTGCAGTGTCTATAGATGGCAGATATTTCATCAGCTGTTGCTGTTCCTCGCATGTAAGATATTTCATGAAACTCTCGAAGTTAATGAAAGCCTGCCAAAGTAAAGTGGTTGAATCAGATCTCTAATTTGTATACGACACGAGAAAAACCTACCACACTCTAAGGCACTGATATAGCCACAGAAGAAAAGACATGAAAGAACTAGTTCTTACATGTAAATCTGCCGAACTCAGGGGAGAATTTCTATCTTGCAGGATATTTAACTTTTGATGTGAGATTTTATCCCTGTAAGAACACAGACAAAGGGTGGAAGTTCAGAAATCCAATCAAGCTAATTTTTGGAACCACTAAAGATTTAGTGAAGAAACAATCTTCTGTTTTCAATCAGTCCATGGCTGAAATGAGCATAAACTCTGTTCTTCTTACGTATGCAAGAAATTACCTTTTGGCACTCTCTTGGGTCATTTGTGCCGTAGACTTCTTTGTGTCGGTACCAGGATTCAGAATGCTCGATCCTTTGTTTTCGGTATTTACAGGAATTGATGTTGAACCTGAATAACCTACACTGATAATGTATGATCTATCTACGGGAAGTGAGCTTGCTTCTGATTCCTCTTCTACTAATCTTGCATTAGGATGTTTAATGAGCAAACCTCCATAACCAATCTCAGAAGAACCAAATGGAGTTCCGCTTTCATAAAGAAGATCATCTTCTGAGGTTCTGGACAGGTTAGAAGCCTGTTCTTCATGCAATATGGAATACAGGTCTCTTGTGAGCTTTTCAACAGGAGAAGGTTTTGGCCTCAGCCGTGTTATAAATGTTCTCTTTTTGGATGGGACTAGCGAATCCCATGCATTTGACTGTGCTGAACCTGAGAAACAAACTGAAAGACTATTTAAGTATGAAATAACAAAAAAAAAAATGGTGGGGATAAGCTAGAGCCTAACATAACATCAACAACAAAGAAGTTCCAGATGTAGGATGCTAAAAGTTGAACCAAACACATTATTTTTTGGTCAAATTCAAACGTTCCATTATTTTCATGCAAGAGCAATATATTCATTTCAGAGCCACATATATCTCATGACACACTTCGATACATCTTCGACATAAGAAAAAAATTGTAGCAAATTTCACCAAAATTTTGAACTGGAATAGATGATACTCAGATTCTTTTAGTTCATCTTGGTGTTTCTTTGGCTGATCTGTTTAGGTCTTTCACCGAGAAAGAAAAGCCATTGACTAAGGTTTTCCAATAAACTATGAAAAAGAAATAAAATGTTAACAGTCACTCAAGTACCAATGGATTTCTGAGGTCTTCCAATGAAAGGGATTGTCTGAGGTTTACATTCAAAATTAACAGAAATGATGATAACCTGTTAAATCACTTTTTGCATCAGTGGTGCCGAAATACACGCAGCTTTCTGAACCAGATATGGCAGAATCAGAACAGGATCGATTGCTTGTATCTGCCTCTAAAATCTTGTGAAAGTTCTGGTCACAATACTTCATTTCGCGTTCAAGTTCCAGGGCACTATTGCCGTGCCTTTTCTTTTGCAACTTCTGCTCTTTGGGTTTGAAGGATATTCTTTTGATTTTTGGAACTTCTAACTCATCTGAATTAAAAGACTCCCGAGCATGCAGTGGTATATAGTTCATCAGTGAACCCTTGGTTCGCCACCTGGAACCACATGCATTGCATAAAACTGGCTTTTCAGGTGGCCCATTTCGCCAGAGAGGGGTACCTATTCGACATTAAACTTCAGTGACCATATGTTTTTTCAGAAACACAAAACTTATAATAGCTCATGTAAGTCGAGAGAATAGTGGCACACAAACATAGATTTTACTAGATGAGTCTTCCAGCCTTTCAAATGAGCAAAAGCGAATAAAGACGACAAAAGTGGTAAGCTTATGAATGAAATAAACAATGATGCCATTATTAAACAAGTTTTTGATTCCCATGAGAAGATAAATGTAAGTTAAAGAGCAACTGAATTAGGAAAGTAAGATTTATAGCACACTCTATCCTTCCAAAAATCAAACTGTTGTGCAAGCAGCACTATATAATATATGTCTAAGCATCCGATATAAATCAGCACACCATGATACAATATAAACATCACCAACCTTTTCAATTGACTATTTCCTCAGGCTAGCATGTGATTTCTAAGGCAAGATGTCACTTAATTTGTCATCAAAATCCCAGAGGACAACTATTTTGTAAATCAATCATATGAACAAACAGGGTATAGGATACAATCAACAAGGAAGTCTCGATGACAAACAGGCAAAACAAACCGCCACACACAACTTTGGGTTTGAAATTCTAAAAATGCATCCTGACACCGAGTGTTCCAAAGAAAATATAATTGTCATAAGTGAATGCTTATAATCATACATGAAATTCATGCAGACTAGTCAATAGAAGAATAGCTTAGCCGTTAGCATCTCAGAACATTTCTAATGATGGAATGGCAACCAGCTAAATCATTTAAGTAAACGAGATTTGAGGCCAAGAAAATGGGTTCTCTAAGTAGACCTATTACATATGACACTATTTTGTGATCAATATGTAGTAGCAATATAAACCTAGAAAGTCACCAGCTCTGTCCTAAGATCTACATGCAAGTTTTACATTCTATCAAAGTTCAGGATCACTAAAAGCATGTAACTCGACTTTCATTTTCGAATGCACCCCTGACTAGATTGTCTATCAGCAAAAGAGCAGGTCTAGTACATGATATTGAATCTCCCACTAAAAGTCAATGAGTAATCACTACATTATGAAGCCTATGCTGCCAATTAAAAAGGTAAATAATCTCATCTTAACTAATCCTAATGTCCAAATTCAATTGTTCTTAGTTAAAATTTTCCACGAGTTCCCAAAATAGAGACCGATAAACCTGCAAGGAAACCACTGCAAAAAAGTGGATGCCAGTTCTTTTGCTGACTACCAAATCAGGGAAGAGAAACACAAAGCCTTAGAAATTCTGCAATCCCTGTTGCAGGTCATTAAGATCTCTCCAAGATATCTAACACGGATACCACTTGAAGTCCTTTATTCTGTTAGTAATTGTTTGCCAGAGATATTGAGATGCTTCTACGAACCAATATGGAGAGGCAAAAACTACAAAGATATGATAACATGAAGCCCAGGCTTGATTCAGATTCAATCATTGATATCCCATGGGATGAAGTCAACCTTTACCCATTACACTGAGCAAAGCACAGAGCAAAAAGAAAATGAAATCTGAACAACATGACAGAAAGAAACAGCCAACAACACGTTAATGTCACAGAATGCCTTAAGTATGTTTGGGTAATGAAATCTGAAACCAAGCAAACCGCTTGGAGAGAATTAATGAGAAGAACATCAAGAAGAATATGAATTAATAGAAACATAATTTGAAGAACATGAAAAAGAACAGCAAGAGAGATAAAGATAGAGAGAAATCAGAGATCCAGAATCGCTCATGAACATGAATAAGAGCTCACTGGTAACTCCACAATGGCAGCAAGGTCCTTGCTTTCCCATTTGTATCACTCCCTTTTATCTTCCCCTTTGGAACCCAATAGGAATCAACACAGAATAGACACCAAAGAGGAAAAAAACAAATTTATAAAAAACCGGTTTTTATGTGAGAATTTATGCAACAATCAACATCTTCTTGCAATCCTCCAAAAACCAATATCAAGGATTCATCAAAGACTCAGAACATAGTAAGAGCAAGCACAGCCCTGCTTGTACAAAGCACCACCAAAAAGCTCTACAATTCTTCTACCCAGTCCAAAGGCCTCAGAAAGAAAAAGAGAGTGGAAAGGGGAATAACAAACAGGAAAGATGTGGGGAGAGAGAAGGAAGGATGGAGAGGAAAAGAAGCAAAAGGAATTCACATAGTGAGTTGGGTGTATAGGTTGAAATCTGTGCAATCCAATGGGAGGAAGGAGTCCATTGGGCAATCAAAGTTAATGGAGGCCTCCTTTTCTTCCTTTGCTTATATTAATTCTCCTCCTATTGGGTGAGCTTTTAGGTTTGTATTAGTGCTAAGCAAATGAATCAATGTTATGCACACCAATCTATGAAATCCATTTTCCATTAAAATTATTTTTTTAAAAAATAATAATAATAATAAAAAGTCTCTTTAAAAATATTTTTCATGGGGTACAGAATTTGTTTGGTATTGGCTTGCATCAATGCCATGCACATCATCATGATTATCATGGAAAGAAGGTGTGTCATCCTCTTCAATTAGTGGGAGAAGACCATGGATTTCTCCATGGAAGAAGTGCTATCACCAACAAAAATCAATCCTTATTTGGATTTTGATTTGATTGGAATTATAAAAGGTGGAAGTCAAACTGAGAAGGCTATTGGGGGAATAATACACTTTGGAATAAGAAAAATTTTAACCTTTATCAAAAAGTTATTCAAGCCATTAAATATTAAATAACACCATACTTGATCAAAGTCAAATTTGATTTCAATTTAAGCATGATGAGTTGAATTTAAGTTTTAAATTAATTTAAACTTGGACTCCGATTATGATGAAGTATTCAAAATATATTTTTGCCTTGAGCAATTGTAGACACCTCTCACTTGTAGCTAAATAGATTCAATTTTACTTGTTGTTATATATTCCAATCTTATTTTCTTGGATTTCAAAATTTATGAATATTCTTTTTTTTTTTTTAGTATCGTATAAAAATAAATTTGCGCACAGAAAAAATAAAGCAAATGTTATTTTCCTCAGATTTGAAGTTTCAATTTTTATCATAGATATTTGGGTTTAGCTGAAAATACAATCATTTCAAATAAATTTACCATCTGAAGCTTTCTTAGCTCATCCTCCCATTGGGCTGAATGAAATTAGGATTCAAGACAAGTTCAAGCTGGCTTATTTACTTGTATTAATTGGAAATTATCACAACATTATGTCACTTAAAACATGTCATGTTCTAAACTATTACATGCTCATGTTTTTCTCCGTGTATTTGTTGGGAACAGATTGTATATGCTTGCTAGATTTTTGTAGACATAAATTTAGTTATGAAAGATGATGCTGATGTTCCTAACAAAAGATAGGAAAATAGTTGTATTTATCTGTGAAGCATAAGGACCATACCAAATAGGATATTTTGTGGGGCCAAATACGAAACCTTGTCATTATATTTTGTAGGGATGTGGATGAAGAGGCAAACTTAGAAAAGGAGAGAACAGACAGACAGATAGATGCTTAGCGAGGGACATTAGGTTGGCAATGGCAAGTAGAGATAAGCTTGACTTATATATGTGCAAGTAAAAGTAAACAGATGAATGGCCTCCGTGTAGGTGATGTATTATAGTTTTGTCTAATTGGTGGTCTGTAGATGATTTCGAGAACCCCTATCGATTAACTTTGTCCGTAGGGTTGTCTTTCTTTTTAAACTCAAAGGTTGATTGATTAGTCATATTTTCTTCATTATTAGTATGACATATGTACTGATCATATTGAGAAAAAATTAAAATATATTTTCTTAATTTTTTATTCTTTCTTTCAAAATTGATACCAAAATCTAATATATATCGAGATTTTGACATTCGGTACACTGATATGGATCAGTACAATATTGATTCCAGCTTATTGATAGATTGTCGATACACAAAATTATGAATATATATATATATAGTAAAAAAATGGAATGCAATTTTTATTCTCTTTAAAAAAATAAAATAACATTAAAATTATCAAGATGGGCCAACTGTTTCCTTTTTGGTATGAGTCATTAATATTAAAGAGACAAATTTTGTGGAAAAGCATTGGATTACCAAGAACCTGATATGATTCCTTATTTGTGAAGTACTTATCAATAAATTTAATATATATATATATATATATATATATATATATATTAATATGATTTTGATGTATCATACTCATGTATCAAACATTGAGAATTTCAAAACCTCACTCAATAATTTTGAAAGAGTGCTAACCAACTTAGCTAGTAGAGACTGTCATATATCATCAGGAATCAAAATTGTCATTTGAAAAGAAAGAAAACAAAAAGAAGTATGAATGATACAAAGAGGTGGGGTGGCTCCCCTCTCCTTCCATAATTCATTCTGCAGGAAACAAATCTGCATGTGACTCTCCACCATCCTCGATGTGGGGCCTTTGAAAAGCTTTGGTTGCACATTGCCATGCACCAATAATATATTGCGTCTGCCGGGCTTGCTGGATGATAGCACATGCCAAAGCTTCCAAGAAAACAGTGGACGCAGTTCATAATGTGATTGGTATTCAGGTTGGCACACACAATTTCTGCAGCCAGTGGGACAAAATGGGATTATATGTAGCCATGATTCCGGGGATTTTATTTTCCCAAGAAAAAGAACAAACAACACAAATCAGGTCATAAATGATAAACAGGTAAGATCGTATTGGATCAGAGGACAGACAGGTGATGTTGTATCGAACATCACATAACGTAGACGCCCATGCTGATCCATTAACTTGAAAGCCAAGCAGAAAGTGGTTCTTTGATGCATGATAGGAGAACACTCTTGTTAAGTTTTAAGGCTTGCACAATTTACCTGATCAGCTCACTTTGAGGTGGCAGCAACTGCTTGGCCATTCTGCTTGCAGTACCTGCAATGTATGAAGTTGCAGAGTTACAATGTCTGAAGCAGTACCTGCTTTGATCATTCCTGAAAGCTTCCAGGTATACATCCAAACCATACTTCGAATAATCACAAAGCACTTACCTATCAATGTGACTGTGGACCTCACCCAGTCCACAAATCTTCCCCTTTCCAAAAAAAAGTCATGAGATGAGATGTGTCCATCATTATAATGCAATCTTTAAACATGTTATTCTCATGACCCTGACCATAGAAAGTGGCACTCGTTTTCAACAGGTCTATGTGAAACAGCAAGCCGTTGCATATTTTTGATGACTTGTTACTGTCACTCAATTCAGCCATAACTAGTCAAAACCTGATGAATCTAAGTAATTAATGCACATCTTTCTGGCTTATGATGATCGGAACAGCCTACAGCAAAACAACTTGAGACTGGCGGGACCATGACACCAGAATGGGTAACAGATGCATGCTGACATTACGACAGTGTGGTGAATGTTATCTTGCTGATCTTCTTCTTCTACGGCACTCGAAACAGTCAGAACATGGGTAATAAGCTTTTCTTCTATTGTCTTTCTTGGCTTGAAGCTTGGACAATGGAACTTTAAAGTCCTCCGCAAGTATTTGTCGTAGGATCTGGTTCTCTTCGATCAATTCTTCGATAACTTGCTGGTGCTTCAGCAGCTGTTTGCACAAGAAAGTATATTGGTTGAGTTGAGAATGCATCCATATGTTGGTATCAGAAGAAACATGCTTTTCTAAATGAGGTTTATGAAAAAATATCTCATACACATCCTTTCGACAAGGTCCCTGTTCTAAAGCTAATCCTTTTGATCTGAATAGTTCCGATCAAGCTACTTTATGAGTCATGTTCCATTAAGTAATATTCATTGGAGACTTTTATATCAATTATAAAACAAAACAAGTCAATTATTCATGGATTTTTGACATCAATTGTAAACCATAAACTAATCGAATTTAGAAAAAACAGTCAAAACAAAGTCCCTTGATTGTGTGGGCGGTTACATAAATTGTCAATTAACCAGCCACATATGAAACATGGGCATAGATATACAATATCATTATTTATCAGGTACTAAAACAAATGAGGAAACATGACTACTTACCATTTGAAGTACATTATTTTCTAAGCGCAAATCTCCAGCCTGTAAAAGAACACAAGTTAGAACAAAACAATTACAATATAATATCATCTTATCTAGTTCAGTAGACAATTCAACATCTCAACCGGATAATGGCCAAGAGGAAGCAGCAAAGCAAGCAAGTATTTGCATTTCCAAACCAACATAAAGACTGGCATCTGGATTTCACTCATTTTGATATGTTCTTGTCATCTATTCTATGATATACCAGAGATCATAGACTTAAACCTGAATTAAACTTGAAAGTTTTCTCAAAAACTAATAAAAAGTTAAAAACTACATAAGATTCTAATATGCCAAGGGCAGTAGGAAATATCCAAACCAGATAAAGATTTTAGCATAAATTGAGCAATAGATCATTATATCCTACATAATCAATTCCCCACCGCCACTAAGTAGACACGCTAAAACACAAAGTGTGCATGTTCAGGTGAAAAGCCAAGAAATTTGGAAAGCATGTAAATTATCCTGGATCCATTCCTTTTTGGTAATACTGCAATGATAAGGAAAAAAAACCAGAACATCTGCTAAACACAAAGTGTAAGATATTAAAGAGTATCTTTTCGGCTAGAACGATTCTGCTAAAAATATTTTCAGACAAACAAAGTATGGAAGGTAAATGCAAGATGCTGCTTGCTCTTCATAGATGAAACGAACAAAATATCTGAGATTATCTGCTGCAGTATATTAATTGTTTCTCAATAATAGCATATATATTTAGAATAGATGGGAATAAGCTGAATTATAGAAAGTGGCTGACTCAAAAATCAGTAGTATAAGTTGACTGCAGTATCTAAATTGCTCATGTACCACTTCACTAAGTTTGACCTCAGCATCCTTGAAAAGAGGATCCTGCATGAAATTGTTGATAACTTTTTCAGTTCGATTTGTAACTGACTTTTCTGATAGTGTTGCTTTTGATGCGTGAGAAATATTAGTAGCTTCTTCAGCAGGTCTTTCATCATGCGTTGAATATCTAAGGGTGCTGACTTGTGCATTTCCAACAGGAGTTCCATTTAGCAGATTGATGCTGTTTTGACCAGGACTTGGGATGATACCTTGGACAGAAGATAAGCCAGGTATACTTCCTAGATTCATCATGATCTTCCCCATGACTTCCTGATAATCACAAAGTCACTTTAGAAAGTATTGTACACACACACACACACACACACATAATTGAATTAACACCGGCAATACCCCAAAACAATTCTGGATCCGGTTAACCACACCAGGCTTCAAGGCAATTCCTGTCACATGAAAATCAACATTTACTGCCTAAATTTCACATTGACTCTGCAAAAAAACTTGTCTTGACACTCTAAGCTGGAAACAACAGAAATATATGTTGGTCATGAAATGTCAATTTGAAATCCAAGCAAAATCCACCATAGAACAAATTTCAATTCTTGTGGTTAAAATTGAAAGAAAAATTGCCAGAATACTATGTTGGTCATGAAATGGTGAACAAAAGTACCAAGATCACAAATTGATTTAATACTTTAAACTCGATAAAAAAAAAATCTGTTCCTTGAGATCATGGAAAGTAGATAAAATTTATCACCATTTCATAAAAAAGACAAATCTAATCTCATGGGCTATCAAAAGTATATATAATCTGTTCCTTCAGGGAGGGAGGAACACTATGCTACTTACCAATCTAATCTCATGGGCTATCAGAAAATAGATTTAATTTGTCACCATTTCATAAAAAGACTAAATAAATATGTTGAAATAGCAATCCTGTTTAAGATATAAAAGCATATAGGTTACATCTGATAAAAATATCATTATATTTAACTTTGAAAAGAAAACTACATTATCTGGTAGAAGAAATATAAGAACAAAGTTTAAAGTAAATTTTTAAGCAATTTATAGGTCAGAATTCTAGTAAAACACATACCTACACCAAAACCATGGCCTATACCCACCCCACATCCGATACCAACTTCGATGTTCTTCAATCCCAATTTCTTCAGCTACATGAGAAGACTAATAAAAGTGAGAATAAATACAGTTTAGCATACAAGAGTTTTCAAAAATATACAAAACACAAATATGTCCTTACAGAACCATTAACATGTCTGCCAACACCAGAAAAAGCATCAGTGGCACCTCTAGCAGCAGTCAAGACTTGCTGAACTGCTGGTATTGCACCTGCATTACAAATGTTTATATGTTTGTTTGCATGAATATCAACATAATAGCAACTGAACACAAACAACAAAAATCTTAATAATAAGAAATTCTTGGTTGATTTAGTATGTCATTTCCTCCAAGATAAATATAACAGATTTTACATATAGATTCATCACATGTCCATAGATACCTAAGACAATGACAAATCAGTTTCAAACATGCAGCCCTACAGAACTATCAAAATTCCGCGTAATTGATTTCATTGTTGACAATACATGAGACTAACCATCTTAAGGAATTAACATCCCACAGATCAAACCTTGGAGTAAGAAATGTGACATTTAGAAGAATAACGAGGAATGCTGATATCATATTGTTGATACCTAATGCAAACAGATCAATACTTTATCAGACTTTGTAAATTTAATATAGTAATTCTAAAGAACAGATGTAGTATTACACTGTTCACACTCAATAATTCCACTCGTTTTTCAAAAACAAAAACAAAAAACTTGTGTAAATTAGTATTTCAAGCCGATTACCAACAGCATCAGAGAAATGAAAGTGCCCACTTCAATCAAACTAATGTTTCACGCAAGCATAAACAAACATATCAATAGCAATAACCGGGAAGTTCAACTGCTGGCACATACAACCACTTCACCTTCGCTCAAACAAAATTAGAACCACAAATAAAAATGAAACTATAGGTAAACAGTAAGAGGCGGTTAACACCATGCTGCCCCAAAATCCATGCTCGCACATAACATGTTCGTGAATTTTCCCAAAAGGAGTAAGTACACGGGCAGCAAAAGATCACCAAATCGAACCCTATGATAGCGAACAACAATCAATCCAGCCGCATATTCGCAGACCCATCGCCTTTAAGGAAACGGACATAGGTGCGGCTGCATCCGGCAGCGGCGGGAGAAGGGTGATATGGAAGAGTCGCATTACCTAGATATATGGGTCGCCCGATGCCGATGCCGACCCCGCAGCCTATGCCGAACCCCGTGAAGACCTGCGCAACCTTGAGGGAGAAGGGGTTCTCCACCCGTATCGGTAAACTCCGATTGGAAGTACGCGTAGCTTCCATTGATACCGCCGGAAAAGGTCACACGAACCAAACCAACGCCGCGTTCGAGCCCCAAGAATACTATATATATATATATATATATATATATAGA